GTCGTTCTTTTATGCGCTTAATATTAGTGAACGTGACGAGGAAAACATTTTGAATGTGGAAAGTGCTCTGTTTGGTCTAAAACGTAAAGTTTCGACAAACCAGTTGTCCATTAAAGACGTTTTTGGTAAAAAGAAGTAACTTCGAAAGAGAAACATTGTTTTTTTTAAAAATTTTAATGCTTTCCCGCATCTATCGTTTTCCCACATTCATCGTTTTTATTTCCCACCCCCGCCGAAAACGATGCATTGAGGTTTCACTGTATTCCAATGAAAAATAGCATACACTGATACATATTGTCTCTTTCCTTCAATTTCTGTCTTCACTTTCTTGTTTTGGTGGTCATCACCCACAGAAATGTTGTGATTACTCTACTCAGAGTGGTATTTTCAAAAGACTGATAATGCAATGCATGACAGGGCACACAGTGTGATTGGTTGCCACAAAACTGTCTCAAACCATTTCCTTTTGAACTGAAATACAATAGCTAAATTTTCATATGATATACTGTGGCATGAAACATTTCATCTACAGGTTTCATGTAGATTCACAGTGTCATGCCAGCAGAAGCCTAGTCTGCACTTTGAATATCTTCAATCCCCTAGGAACAAAAATGTATTTCTTTTTCATAATCTGTGATTCAATATGTTAAGCATGAAGCACTAAAAGGTGTTACACAATACAAAAAGTCTGAAGAATTAATGTGACATTTAACATTTTCCACTACACATTACGAAACATTTTACTTTGTAGAGCGAATCACAAGTACGCACCTCAGAACACAATGCCCATATTGAAGTTCATGTAACGCTGAGTTCCATAATTAATACAAAATATGTAGTTACAAGGTGTGTGGATAAGAAATACAACACACTTTGGTAAGGTGAAATTATCATAAACTTGTAAGATTTGAGGTTTCCACAGCAGTGAGCATGAAGATTTTTGTCTTCTGGGTTCTTGCGCTGTGTAGTCTGGTCGACCAGACTACACAGCGCAACAACCCAAAAGACAGAAATCTTTATTACCATAAACTTGCCGATGCTTGGCATTTCATTATATATAAATTTACTAAGATTTAATTACTCCAGTTTGAGGTTCGACAACACTTAAATGTTTGAATTTTGAAATAAACTGTCACACTCACTTGTGACAGCTGGCTGGGAGGCTGGTGGAGATCTAGACTCTGTGACATTTGACTCGAGCTTGATGCCACACTACTCGATAAGTTCTGAACTGTCAGCGAAGATGAGAGATCAGGATTAGTTGACTCAACCACCAATGGCTCAGAGTTTGTTATTGGCTCCAGTGCTCCACCACTTGGAGTGAACACTTTACTGTCTGCCAGAGACCCAGTGTATTCTTCGTTATCCCAGTCTTCAGGTGATGGAAAGTCATCACCCCACTTATCTATAGCAAAGCAAAAAACACAACTTTTTTCAAACAAAACCAAAAGCTGAACACATAAAAATCAGTACTGGGTGATTTTTGGCTTACATTCCTTACTTATAAGGAAAGATACACAGAGTACCATCATGTCAACATGTCCTCCACTCTACCAATAACTTTGTAACTATTGGGTGGATTTTCATTAAACTTAGTAGAAACATCATAACACCCCACCTTTAAAGTTTTAATTTCCCACCATCAATAATACAAACTTGTGAAAGAGGGACACCAATGGCACATAGCTATATAACACCAGGGAATTCAATATACAAACTGGTCTGAGGATGAGGAGACAAGGTACAGTCAATATAGTGACTGACTATGGGCTGGACGACTGTGGTTCAGTCCCCAACAGGGGCAGAATATTTTTCCTGTAGCTTCTGTATCCAGATCAGCTCTGGGGCCCACCCAGCCTCCTGTCCAATGGGTACTGGGAACTTTTCCCAGGGTAAAGCCCAACCGGGGGTTTGACGCTAACCACTCGCCCCCACCTACAGCCCAGGTTAAGAATGAGTAAGAGCTATACCACCTCTCCCTCCAAGAGCCTGCATGGCGTATAGTGAGACAGCTTTACTTTAATTTTACTTTTAATCAGAGGATGAAATGACAGGGAATTTAAACTCACAAAAATGTATGTTTGAACTGCAGTGATTGTAATGCCTACCATTTTAATGGCATTTAGTCAAAACTTTTAACACCCATTTTAATGGCAACTAGTTAAAATTTTTAACATAAGTCCTTAACATTGGCAAAATATGCAAACCTGGTTTACATTACCCTAATAAATGCATCTTTGTGTTCTCAGAGCACTCAGAACAGACTTCAAAACCTTCAAATTCATAAAACACCCCACATGTAAATATCACTGATGGTGTATGAAATAAAAATCCTGATTTCAAACTGATCCGTGATCAATTTTATGACCTCTTCAGCATAATAGTTGGCCACAATTGTTGTTATTATTATTATTATCATCCCACAAACACTCTATTAAAAATCTATGAAACATTACAAAATGTCATTTCATCACCTCGCATGAACCCTTGTTAACTCCTCAGAGCTGAGAAAATAAAAATCCAATGTCATCTATGAGCTAAGATCTTAACTAGAAAGTCTTTTAACTTACATTAGATTTCTGGGATACAAGTTTTTCTTTCAATAACGAAGATTTGTTCCACTCCTGCACTCTGAAGTTCAAATCCACCAGATAAACTACTTTCCCAAGCACCTCTACTGTAAAATTCTTATGCTATTACTCATATGTTTAGAATTACTAAGGTTCTGCAGCCATTCAGTGGTTAAGACACAAATAAAATAACCTCAAGCTTCAATAATTACACATAACCCTTTGATGCTGACATATGCAGAATCTCCATTAATATTTCCATGCTCACAAATCACTGCTGTTACTTGGGACATAATAACACACCTTTGTAGATAAGGTAGTCCAATGTGCCCCATTTCAACACAAAGCTACCACGCAGTAACAAAATAATGCGATGTATAGTGAAATCATAAACATAATACAAAAATAAATTAACTTACCCATTTTGAGGGATTCACCAGTGTTTTCATCTGCACCTGGATTGTTCCAAGTTTCTATAGACCTTGGAAAGCCTCCCTTATCTCTGTTTTGGAAAGTTCGTGGACCAAGTCTACCACCTCCTCGTCCACCCCTCCCAGACCTGCCCGGTCCATTCATCATCCTCCCGCCACCCCGCCTAAACCCTTCACGACCCTCCTCCAAGTTCTTCTCATTTTCTTTGTTTTCTCGACCACGCCCTAGAACAGACCAAACAGACCAACCACAATACAAACTTAACAGTACAAACCCACAAAGTTACAAAGGCAGCTACGTGAAATTTTAGATTTTCATGGAAGTGGTGGTGGTGGAGATGACAATCCAGATTTTGGTGTCACGTAGACTTGCAGGTAAATGCCAATGTTTCTCCAAAATGTTGGCACCTGCCTGGGAATCTACATGACACCAAAACCCGTAACAGCAACAGGAAAAAGCCAGCTCATTGAGACTTCTCTACATAAGCTGGAAGAACATGGTAAATATCTGGTGTGACTGATTCATGGTTTGATTAACGTAGCTTTACTGACTGCCTCAATTACATAGCACTGAAAGTATAAATGAATGGATATGGTGGTGATAACGGTATCTTTCAACTAGGGATGGGAGTAACACCCATACCTGTTATAGACATGGAGCAGAAACAGATTATTATGTAAACCATGACATAAAGGTACCACTAATCTCCAATAGAAGCTGAAAGTGACAGCTGTTATCTGTTCCGTTCTCTTTCTCAATTCTTGTTCTCGGCACACCAGTACTTAGTCTCTTCTAATCCAAAAAATGTCAGTCTTCTCCCATCCAACTGCATCATGCTTCTCGTTCACCTCTCTCAACTGTGTGTTCATATATGACTGCACTTTTTTTAATTCTCACCCCCTTTTCAAACTCTCTTAACTTTTTTATTTCTTCATTGGATTCAGTTAAAAGTTGAAGGGTGTTACAGGACATACAGAACAAGGAATGTGTAATATAGGAGGAGGCTGGAGCCACATACTGAGATGTGAGGAAACCAGAAGTTGAAGAGAGGAAGGAGCCCATAGACAGAAGATTCACAAGTATTTAGCCACAAATTAGAATCATAAAGATAGCTAAAATAAAAGATAATGGCAAACTGCAAAAGTTTTGGCTATATTTAAGCAAGTATAAAAAGAAATGGAAAAGATTAGTGATGAAATGAGGAAAAATAAATCATAAAAACTGGGGGTATCAAATACAAAATATAGCACTCACTTACTCACTCAACGGTACAGGATATTCTCTGAAAAGCCAACTCTATACTTGGATTGTCAAAGAATAGCCCACTTTCTTTATGGAACCCGAAGGTTCATCACCGTGTTCACAAAAGCCCATCACCAGACTCTATCCCTAGCCACCTGCACCCAGATCACTCCATCGATTCCTATCTCCGTAAGGTCCAACTTATAATGTTTCCTTCCACCTACACCCAGGTCTTCCCAGCGGTCTCCTCCTTTCAGGCCTTCCAACCAATACCTTGTGTACACGTGTCCCCCAGCATGCTGCACGTCCTGCCAACCTCATCATATTCGATTTAATAAGAGAGATGGCAGTACAGTTTAAAATGAACGTAGAGAATGCAAAATTGTAAAACCAATGTAAATATATTCAAAAGTGGACATACGACCAGGGAGTCATGTCCAGCATTGTAAACTGTACCCAAGAGACTTAATAAATGTCAATGTCAATGTCAGTTACAAGAAACATAAGTGGAATGCAGAATTATTTTACAGACTGGTGCAGGTTTTACAAATGTGAGCTATGTAAGCAGAAACTGTTGAATCTACACTCATAATTCTTCTTTTCAGGGTTTTACTTTTGTTGGTCAGACCAATTTTTTATAACAGTAACTGCTATTTGATGATTTGTTATGATTTGCACAATAAATAAATAAATAAATATATTTTAAAAAAACATTTGTTTTTTATCATCACCTGAGTTACTTGCATTAGATTCGCAAAAAAAAAAAAAACTTCCAAAATAACAGGTGTTTTCTTACAACCAGAACAGACCATTACTGCTACCACGAACAGTTAAGAACTTCACATCTCTAATTTCAACACACTATATCACCAGCATATGCCAAGAGGGACTGAGGAAAACCATGAAAAACCTCAGTCAGGATAGCCAATCTCCAGGTTGAGATTGGAACCTGGGACCTCCAAAACATAAAGCAAGAGTACTAACCACTTGGTCATAATGTTCTTATCTTACGTTAATGGATCTGATTTTAGCATTACCCTGCATATTATTATTTTAAGCATAGAAGGAAAGAAAGCGAGAAAGAAAGAGGAAGAACAAACATACAACCACGATTATCCAATGATCCACGACCACGCATACGAGGAGGACCTCCACCTCTGGCTCGAGTTCGTTCTCTCTCTGGATTTACTTCTCTCTCCTGGGCCCATTCTTCCTGCTCAAGATCCTGGTTGTTTACAGTCGACTCCGACTTTGTGCTAGGTTGCCGATTTTTCTTTTTCTTTACCAACGTTTCCCATTCACCCTAAGCAAAAAATAAGCATAGAAACATTTACACAAATACTTGCATATCAAGTACTCCTTCAATATACACAAGCGCTGTCAGAATCAGCAACTGACATTCGGGTGGTTCATTTTAAGCTGTTACTTGCCATATTAAAACTGTCATCTCTCCCAGTATCAGATCTAGCAGGCCTGCTATAAAACAGATGTTTTATCCTGTTTAAACTGATAAGGCCAGATAAATTAAGTTCAGTACACAGAAGTACTCATAATCATCAGAATTTACATAGGTGTTCCAGTTCATTGTGGCATAATGACTTCTGACAGCCATGTCCTGCTCTGAACATCACTTGACAACTGACACGACTTCTATAGTTCTATCCTGGGTGACGATTCTGCCAACAATTTCTCATGTGATGTGTTTCAACGGCTGACTGTTGACAGTTGCCCCAGTAAAATAACTAAAATATTGGCGCAATGCAGTCCATATCATAGGGCAGTGGTTCTTCTCACTGCTGAGAAGTCACATTCCTGCAAAGTGCTGGGTCACATATGAGGACCCACTGCGGACTGAGGACGTTGGCTGCTGAGGCTTATGGCACAACATGGGAGTGATATATGAGCATATGCAGCATCAGAGGAATGACAACACAAAGAAGAAAAAACTTTACAAAATCCGCATATGGAATGAACTAAGGCCCCATGAGAAAGTGACATCTAACTACATTTTGGAATTATGAGATCTAATATCTGATGACAATCTTCAAAATTATACTAAAATTGCACAAAACCCAAAACATAAAATACTAATTTGAGCAAAATTAGGTCAACTCAGATTTGTTATTAGAGCTGAACAAATGTTAAGATCCAATTTAACATCACAATTACAATATACAATAAACAATTACTTTCGTGGGATATTTATAATCTTGAGAACAGGAAGGGTACAAGTTAAATATAATGAAATAAAAGTTCTGGAAAAAACTTACGATACCTACTATATTTCTTCAAATGCTTCAGTATATATGACAAGGCTTCAAGAAACTATAAATTTATAATTTTACAATTAGCTTCTGAGCATAGCATCATTTTGGACTCATAATTCTGACTCACAACATATAAACAAATGTTTCATGCAAAATGTAAACTCTGTAAACCTTTGAATGCCTGGCACTAGTGTTTCAATCAAAAACTAAGTACTAATTTATGCAGCCACCCCATTCTTTTTTATTCTACAAACAAAATGGCCCTTACAAAAGGTACATATTTTGAAGAAGCAACGCCAAATACTTCAAGGCAAAACTATTTTACTTCCCCTTCAAGAGCCTAAATGCTTGCCATTCTGGTAATACTGATAGTAAGTACATAAATGTGCTTCACGTCAGAGATATGTAGCATCCTATACAATCGTCAGGTAATGGGGGAAATGCTATGCCACACCCAAAACAGCATTTTCAGAACCAGACTTTATCTTCTTAGCATTGTTAGGAACTGTTCAGTAGACAGGCAGTAGTGGGTAACATAATTGGTGAAATGCTACTGGACCATCAGAAAGCATCCTACTGTAACATCCACTAACGTGGGGTACTATGGGTGGTGACATTTGGATTCCTATTACTCATAGCATCAAAATGGATACCCCAGCTAAATTCAAAAGCAATGCATAGGAATTTCCTAACGATGAGATACCTACATACATAAAAGGAGAATTTGTAGCTTAAACACACACACACACACACCAGAACACGGAGTTGGTGAAAACAGCAAACCCGCAGAAAGTGAGGAGTTAACCAAGGGTGGAATGCTCCAGCAGAAAGAAACCTACCAGCAATATCACACAGCATCACTCCCTAAGGATCCAACAATTCTGGCATAGCACAGCAGCAGTATCAACAAACGTGTGTGAGAGGAGACCTAACAAGACTCCAAGGTAGGCAGACTCCATACAGAAAGAACTGTATTGCCAGGAAACATGAGGAGAAAGCTTAAACAGGGCTTGGATCAAACTTAATGGAAGCTTGCAGCAACCAGGTCACAAGGTCACACCCATGCAATGGAAAGCAATGTCAGACCTTTTTAAAAGGCCCAGAAACAAAGAAAGTACCCCTAAAGAGATGGCCAACCCCCTCAAAAGGTTCAGGGACTCCTGTGAAACCATGGTCCTACAAGGAGGCCTTGACCAACGTAAAGATATTTATCTATCTTCAAAGATGATCATCCTGATGATAAGCTAAATGGAAATCTAGAATTAGACCTAGACAAGTCACAAGAATGTTCTGTGGAACCATGAAGGACACCTCAGATCTTACAGAATAGAAGGAGGCATGCTCACTTTTACATGCACTGATCAAAATGCGGCAATGGCATGAATTATCAAAAATTCAGGGATGGGACCATGCTGAAAGCAGTGGACATGAAAGTCTAAAACTGATCTGCATGTCTGTTATTCACAGCTGTAAGAGATCACTTCCTTTGTTGAAGCCAAAAGTACGACCAATTTTCCATTAAATTCACTTTCATCCATACAAAGTGGCCACTGTTCAAGAATAACAACAGTAATAAAATTGTCTGCTGTTCTGCAGAAGCTTTTTAGAGTTTAAGCACACAGTGCCACTGCAAATAAACTGTTCATGAATTACAAGGCTCAATTTCCTCTCAATGGAGATGTAAAGAAGCAAAACTACCATTGCTGGAGAACTCAAAATCCCTATGAACTCCATTAAACACTTCATTCATTCTCCTAAGGTCAACGTTTGATATGCTGTCATCATTTTGCACTCTGGGACTATTATTCTTTCAAAGGAAAATACAAGTGACAGTCACGGCACTTCACTACAGAATCACCTGGAATTTCTGTCCAGAACGGCAACAAATGGGACAACATGAACGCTATGTGGTTCCAACAGGATGGAGAAACTTCCCATACAGCAAGAACAAAAAATCTTCCTGGGACAGATTACTTCACACTTTGGAGCTGTGCCATGGCCAGCATATGTTCCCCATACTATCAGCGCCAGATTACTTTTTATGGGGGTACTTAAAAGACGTGTTTGATATATGACCCCCATACCACAGCTGTGAAGAATCACGTGTTAAAATCTCACACCAATTTCTGTAGAAATTCTGAATGAACAACAACACGACAGATTTGACATGCCTATAGAAATGCAATGAAATGGAAGAACATCTGTGATATTCCATTTTCAAAACACAAAAGTGCAATGAACTGCAGCGAATCTCCCAAATGTGTAGAATATAAATATACATTTGTTTTTGTTCAGTACATTTTTAATACATAACTAGAGCTATTTCTAGAGACAAGAGAATCAACTTGGAATCTCACAAAGTTGCCCTGAATGTAAATATTGAGGTATTGCCATAAAATATTCACTTGGTGCAGGTGCTGGCTCCTGGCAGGTTGGAAAGTCCTGTGACCACAACTGTCCACCAAGGAATGTCTTTGTGCAATAATAACATGAACTGCCTGACAGTCAAAATGGGGCTATTTAATAGCGCCAAAAGGAAAGGCGACTAATACTCCTATAATCAGCCTCTCACCTGTTAGAATAAATAAATTAGGAAGGCCAAAAGATCTTCATGCACGAGACACTGTCAGGGAATGAAACATGCGCCAAGCAAAGCAGAGCCAGATTCTTGTTAAATTACAATCCCCTTTCATTCAGATGTGTCAAAACATATGCACACATTACACATATCTACCAGTGAAATGGTAAACATAGTTTCATAAGTAAATTATTAATGTTCGACATTGTACACCTCAGTTCAGAGTGTGTCGTCACATCCAGTGCAAAAATTACGTAAATTAAAAATTTATAAACCATCAGCCAACTAGAAGCCATAAATGCTACTACAACAGGCTTGGAAAGTGCATTGCATACCTGAATACACATAATATGCATTCTTTACAATGTGCATTCAGAGGTATTATCTACCTTGTTCAGTACTTCCCAATTTTGGCCACCAGGTCACAGCATCTCAGTGTCTACCTCAAGACTTTCCTCGTCAATCAGTTTATCATTGCTCATAAAACATTCAGAAGTACTAGTTTGGGGTCATGCAAAGTAGCACAACCTCCACATCAAATTTCATCCAAATCTATCAAGTGGTTCTCAAATTGAACTGACTCGACAGACGAGCTCAGACATGACCAGCCCATAACGCAATCTTGCTATGCGCTTCATGCAAAGAACGCATAACAACCTGTGCGTGGCTCTTAACCTCATCCAAGGAGTCCTACCGAATGTCTATAGATTGAGCCAACGAAAAAGTTGGGACCAGCAGTGCTCAGGCACTTGAAGAACGGGTCGTTCCCAGTATCCTAGTATGGCTCTTAAGAAATTACACTACAGCTGAATATAAGTCATTAAGTACCACACTTCAATTTTAAAACACACTTTTTTCCACATTTTAAAATTCCCAAAATCCAGATGCATCTTACATGCGTTGGCATCTGCATAGCATTTTTTCCCCCTGAAAACCTATTACTAAATCAAGGACGCATCTTAAAACCGAGGAAATGGGGTAATTAGAAGTCTACCAGAGATGGCTAACGCTTCTACTGAAAGTATGAAGTACTCTGTAGCTTTCAAGCTGTGACACACAAACATCTCAAAACATCTATCAAACACTGCAACAATCCAACCAGAACACAAGTTGAAGTTTAAAAAAAAACAAGTCACTGAAACCAATTAATACAATTAGTGGCATGATTCTTCTCACATCTAGCTACACCGAGTATTAAGAGTTTACGTACCTGGCCCATTCCTTCAAGAAGCATATTCACTGCCCTGTCAAGGTCATTATCACAGTCATGCAGTGCAGTACAGACTTCATCCTCTGTTTTACGAGTCGCGTCCATAGCTTGCTTGATCTTGTCCTTTAGATTCGGGTCTTCTGTCCTAGTGTCAATAATTTGTGCAATTCGCATCTGTTCTGCTGTAGGCTGAAAAATAAGAATTAATTTCAGTGGAGGGTAGATAAGAGTGTCAACTTCTTTCTCACTGTTTTACCTCCTTCCCTGCATCCCAACATGCCAACTACCCCTGAAAAAAATACTTGTTGATCCTCCTGCTCCCATCTCAATCATGTTGGGCAGAGCTGGTGTTAAACCCTCCTCTAACACATTTAATTATATACATAAAAATAAATGCAAACAATTATTTGCTGAACATGGAAAAACCAATTATATATGTTATGAAAACACGCTGTAATAGCATATTAAAAATAAAACTGCTACATATAAAGCTAGAGTTGGTTTAATTTATGCGTGTTTGTATAACCAACTCGGTTTGTTTTATTCAGCATATGTAAGGCAGTAAATATTCAGCTTAAGTATCATTATACAATTTCTTCCTATCACGTCTTTGCCCCACAAACTACATGTAATGCATGGTCTCAGTCTCACACTGTTACTATATTTTGTATTGTTTCCTGTATTTGACTTTATGACAGCATTATGGAATCAAAACATAAATGATAATTAGCAAAGAAAAGGATGCAAGGTAATGACACAAGACAAGAAAGATTCTAGATGAGCGTACTAGCAGTTGGCATAACATTCTGTTATTGTTTTATTTTAACATCTAACTAACCTTCCATTAATATATTGCTTTAACACTCAATCTTCATTGAATTACACAGTTTGTTCATAAATAAATATCCCTGCAGTATATTTATGTTTTTTATTTACACTGAATATCCATGGCTATGTTCCCATATCCCCATTAATTTCATTAAATGAGTTTGTAAAATGTTGATTTATTGAACACGCCTTTCAAGAAACATACACCGTGCCAAACGAGGGTTTACTGTACTCGGTGATATAATTGTATGTTTATGATACAGTATGAAATCCTTGACACATGAAAGCATGACAACAAGATTATCAATTCTAATTTGGGAATGGCATGGAAGTAACCATGGAATATTTAAGGTACAATTTTGGAATTTTCTTGGAGAGACTTGAAAAAACAATGAAACGCCAGTCTGATCACAATAACCAAAGTTATCAGTGGCTTTCAAGATGCAATCAGCAACTGTTGCACAACAGCAAACTAATGAAATGAATATAGCATTATGTCAGTTTCACTGCTTACATTAGGTCCACGAACTTCTGAATAGCAGTATCAAAATCCACCACAATAATTGCAACTTTGGCTTATATTTTAAATCTATATGCACATTCACATACTAAACAGATTTACAGTTGCCCTGCTAATAAGCAATTACAAGCCCACTGCAGTGATCAAACTACCCATCCTCACAACCGAGTCACAGTGACACTGGTCCAATAACACATCTACAAAAACCTAAGTACATTGGCACCACACAGTACAGCAGAAGCTATTACGTGTTTACACTATAACAGAAACTGCACTTTCTGGATGGATACTGAAACATCCACAGTCCTTCAAAAAATCAGTGGTCAGACAAAATACCTCAAAAACTTACAAGAGAAACAGTTTTTGATAGCACATACTCAATTTTCAAACTAAATTACCCTTCACATACTGAAGTCGTAAGTACAACAAAGGTCAAATGCAATAAAAAGCAAACATAAACTTACCTGTGTTTTAGGATTGTGATCAAGTGTTTTTGGTGATTCTGTTTTAGCATCTGCCTTCTGTGGTTTATTTGTTGAAGATGGTTCCAATTTGGTCCCTTTTCCACCGCGAGAGGTGGATCGACTTCCAGAGCTCATCTTTACAAACACTATGTACACTTACTATTTACAATGTGTTCTGCTACTGAAACACAGGGAAATGTCCCAAGTCACTCTTTAATAAACAGTGTAACTTTAAGTATGATGACTACTCACATGAAGTTATAACTGGCAACTATGTGAATTCAGTTACACATCAGTGAGGTTAAGTAAGCACATTGCAATGGCTTGAGGTATATTTAGCATGTCTAAATTCAGAGAAAGGTATATGTAGCCAGCATTCTGTAGTTATTACCCTTTGCATAAAGTAATGCATTATATACATGTACTCGTATAAACTAAGAAACAAGCTACATTTGAATTATACCAACTACACACTCATTACCGAGAAATATCTCAAATATGTGCTTCTAAATCATGTAATAGTCAAAACCAACATTACATACCAATTTAAAGCAAATGCAATAGGTTAGTCCAGTACATAACATATTAAAATCAAAAATATTAAGAAAAACAAACAAGAGATTACACTATCAAGTGATAACAATAACTTTCAACCACTAATGACTGGCCAGCTGAAGTGTTGGGGCTATGGATTGCAATATCGACTGAATTCAGAGATAGGTTATGGTGTTCAGTAAGCCAAAATTGTGAACAGTTGGTCTTGCAATTGATAATGTAATCACATTATAAAGTTCATCTAAACAATGAAAACACATATCTGATCACACCACATTCCAATGTCTTGTTAATATATCACTGTGATGGATAACTGCAGTTAGAATATCTACCACTGTAATGCGTAATTGCAAAGTTAATATCTACCACTATTTTATATAATAAAATATACTTAGTAACATCAAAATAACAGCATCTTTATATGCCCATTCTATAAGCAAACATATTAAAACTATTTCAGTTATAGGCCAACTTGAACCAGTAATTAGGTTAGGTTTGTGTGATTCCAAAGTAATAAAACCCTTCATACATGCATAAAATCTGAATGCATAATGTTAATTGTTCATACAATATAAACAAGAATAGATAACAAATCTATTTACGTTAAATGTATTAAAATACCAATTTGTTATTTCACGAGAAAGATGAAACACTTGAAAAAACAAGAGGATCGCCTGCCATCAGCTGAAAAACCTTCAAAACACTACGAGAACCAAAGGCAGTACACTACATACTACCTAATAGTTCAAATGAACAATACTGGTAGTATCAAAATCAAATGCACTATCTTCCCGGGATGGAACAACAGATCGAAAATTCCAATCACAATGCCGGGTTACGTCCAACCATGTGGGGAGACGCCATTTCAAACTCTTGTTAGACATACTATTGACAACCATCAAAATTCAAAGTCAAATTTTATATTTATATCATAATTTCTAAAAACAATTTCGCTTCTTTTAGGGAAACTTAGTTGCTCATAACCTATACAGTATCTACATATAACAGCTGGATGCATATAAAGCACCAGAAACTGATAAAATAGACATAATACCCGTACCTGCAAAATGCGCTCAAAACGCAATCAAGTCACGTGACATGTAGCTCATCGAAGAAGTTCAAGAAAATACCACTCTCAACCTGCAGCGCTTATCATCGTAACATTTAAAAAATCCAGTCCATTATCCTTCGATTTCCTTGTTCGAGTCTGTTTCGGCATACCAAGAATAGGAATGTTATTGTCAGTAGAGTGACATTCCAGTATCTTGAGTGACTGAAAAACGGAAAAGGCACATAGTACACTGACTGCAATGCAATGGGTTGCAGCTCCCTTGTTGAATAAACAGTCACTACAAGGAATGATCATCCACCTTGGTCTGCTTGCTACAAATCCGCACGCATTACCGGAAAAATAATAAGTAAATAAACACATAAATTTCGACTTGGAAATTTCAAGAAGATTGGCGGATAATATTAAATTCTATGTTAAGGTTGCGGTGAATTTGGTTTGAACTAGCCCAGGTTAAAGTTCAGCGAGAACTGTGGCGACAACTTAAACTTCAGGACCCTACACAAGGAAGGAAGTTTTGAACAGCTGACATTTTCCACCGCTCAAGGGAAGTTTTCTACTGAATTAGCCTGTTGGTCAGAAGTTTAGACAAGTGGTTCTTAAAATTGTGTTACTGTGGATTCCTTTTGGTAATAAAATATTTTCGCGGTACGCTCGAAAATAGTCAAGTGTTTATCAATTGTTTTAATTCACCACCACAGTACAGGAAGTTAAACTTTGTCAACCCAGTAGTTTTCAAGGCCGTTTATGCTGTAAGGCGACGGACAGACCTGCGTGCTTCCACAAGGGACTTGAGGTACAGTTCCGAAAAGCTGTGTTCTCACGTCGTGTTCTGCATAAAGCTTTGTATTTGTTTCTGTATATCCTGAGAACATTGTTCCTCACAAATTAGTACATAGTAACAGAAGTTGCTACACTTGAAATACGTACAAAATCTTCCTCAGACTAACCCGTAAATTAGAGAAAGGTCTGTGTATGTATGTTTCAGATCCCTGTCCGTTTTTGATAATTAATTCCTCATACTGTTGTGTAAATAATCCTTGCTCTGTGAAAGGCAAAGGTGTTTTGTAACCACTGGAAACCTTCTACCATACTTTCATTGTATTTGACTATCAACTGTTTCATTGTGTGTGAAAACGTCAATTTCTCATCTGGCTCTGAAGTTCATTCAAAGTCTAAAATAGTCTATGACACATTTTCTATCCTTGTTCTACAAAGCTTTATTTTACATAAGAAAGAATCTTTTACGTGCCGAGATAATTATGATAGACGTACCTTGTAATGATGAATTTGGTTTATTTATCTTTTCAACAAACAGCAAAACATCTGCTAATCTACTATAAAAATTTGTGATTAGTCGTTGTCGTCAACCAATTTGTCGTCAAAAAATGACGTCATTAACAATGTCAACATATATTTGTTTACACGGCATTGTTGTGGAATACAACAATTCGAGTAAACAAATATAACGCTTCACAACAAAGAGATCAAAAAATATCAAGCCAGTTGCATTATCACTGCTACAGAAGAGAGCACATCGCATTATTGAAAATTGACTGACAGTTGGCCTAAAACATCAGAAAAGTGAAAGAAGACGTTATCAAGTATTTGAAGTACCAAATCAAACAACTTCAACAATATAAACTGATACTCATTCGATATATTACGATTACGAAAAATATTATGAAAACTGACTTTATGATCGATTTTAAGACAAAGATTTGCAAGGGTGGGGCTGGACGTAAAAGGTTGACTGAATCAGAACTGTTGGCGTTTTAAACAATTGACCAACCCCCCCGTCGGTCAAGTGTTTTAACCCCCATTGGGGGGGTAGTTTAGTTTCTTACTAAAGGGTTAAAACACTTGAATGAGACACTAAACTAACCCCCCCGAAGGGGAGGTTACTTTAGTGTCTTACTAAAGATTTTAAAACGCAACCAACCCCTTCCGAAGAGGGGTTGGTTGCTTTTTAAAAACTTGACCAGCCCCTCCGAGGAGCTCCGAAATTTCTGAACGTAGTATAAATACACGGCAAAACTGCCTCGTGATACCTACCGAACCACATCGTACCATAAATTTTGCTGTATAATTAATTTTACGTAAAATTTTCACAATCACGTTTAACACGGTTCTCAGTTAATCTGGAAATTTTTCATACCAATAAATGATGTCTACTAATGTTATTTGGTGCATTGTCAATGACTCTCTGAAGCCTAAATTAGTCTTAATAATATTTAAAATTATATTTTAAACTTAGAAGCAGAAATTATTGGCAATGGTAGTAGTAAGTACTGTTCGAGATTTCGTTTCAGCAGTGGCTATGAAGCTATTCCTTGTCGCAAACAAATTCGTACGAATTCCGTTTGTTTACAGTCTGACAAGAAAAGTAAATATCTACGTTTGTGTGCATAAGATTCTGTGTCACTCAGTTCTAACACAAATTTCGCTGAGTTTAGTGCCATTTGTTGGATAAAAATTCCGCTGAATAAAAAATAATTGTTACTAGAATTGACCATAAAAATTGACAGATTTGTTACAATAAAACGTGACAGTATAAAAAATTGTGAAAGTAACTTTAACCAAAACCAATTACAATCGGGAGTAAGCCAAGTAAGACTGCTTTCAAGGCTTGATATTTGTATCAAAACTTCATCACATTTCTGTTTTACAATAAATGTATATATTTTATAAATTAAATTATAAATTAAAGACTTAAAAATATGCCAACTCCTATTTTAATATGAGTCCTCTAGTCTTATTCCAGTGTCCTGAAGAAAATTAATAACGCAAATTTCCCGCGAGCACCGAAAGACTGAAAACCACCGACTTATATTTTGTATTACAAAGATTTATAAGTATATATTATATATTAAATTTTGTCCGTCTAATCACAATAATTCTTATTAAATATTAAAATATTACAATAATTAACATTTAAAATATTTAAAATATTAAATGATGTTCTTTATCGAAATATTCGATTTACATTAGACCATCATTTTTCATGTTTCACGACATGTTTCAGTTCCTAAAAGAACCATCCTCAGGTGTATATAATTATATAAAGCTTCAAAACGATAAATAATTCAAGTACAATTTTCAAACATTATTCTAGCGTGCATTTTTATTAGATTTTTACCAGATATCAGACGATGTTCTTTTTCAGATTTTTATTCAATTTTTTATATAACACATGTTAGCTATTGTAATATTTTAATATTTAATAAGAATTTATTGTGATTAAACGGACAAGATTTAAATAATATATATTTATTATATCACAATGACGCAACTTTACCATCTTAAAGATTTATAAATTTTTAGTACTATTCTGTCATCATTTCTAAGCTTATGAGAACTTGACGTAACCTAGCAATAATTTAAACTTTTTTCACCACAGTACGTTAACGTACGTCCTAAAAATCTCGACATAAATTGTTGCATTGCTAATGCACACAAAATTACGTATCCTGTGTCAATATTGTTTCCTCAAAATGTTTGGTGTGACTGAAAAAGAATGACAAAGCAATGGATAAAGTTAACTTTTATGACAGCAAAGGCTTCCACCATCAGAAGACATTTTCTGGTGGAACAAATTACACTATTTCCCGAAATCTTTGAGTTTAGAGGAAAACAGCTTCAGAAATACTTGTTTAAACAACGAGACCTCGCTCCTTGTATGAACCAAAAATTAATTTTGCCCTTCGATTTGAATATTTAAACAAAAGAAAAGTTACAGTGGAACCACGGTTCCGGAGAATTTGACGTAAATACGTCTATACGGTAAGGAGTTTATATAGTGGCTTTAACCACGCTTTACGATTGATTAAAGTTTGAGTAAGACATTGCTTATTTAACTTAAATTAGTTGTGCTTAAGATGAGTTTGTGGTAGGTGAAATATGTTATAAAATTTGTACATTTTAGAGTATCAAACACCATATCTATACAAGATTTTGATCTAGTAGTACTACATTGAGGATTTGACATCAACATTAAGTCAAACCTTTTCCTCCATAAATGTGAGAAAGCTTTGATTTTCCTCCTTCTTTAAATCAATATTAAAATCTCCTGTCAATATTATCGGCATTGTATTAGGATCTTCTGTGGCCATAACTGAAAACATCTTTGTATAATTTCTCAAATGACTCAAAATAAATCTCTTACAATCATCGATATATTCCCTTGTACGTTCAGCATTAGTTTTTGGTATTTTTTGGGGAAACTTTAGGTTTATTATTTAATACTTCTATTATTTCACGTTTTCTGTACTGTCTCATATATTCTGCGTTATGGAGTCTTTTAGCATCAATCTCATCCATCTTGTACATAGTATGACGCAACAAATTAACGCAACAATAGATTTCTTAATAATTCTTATATAAGATAAGTACCTGTGATACTGTAAAACGTTTTTACCGGCACAAAATTACGTAGTCTACGACGAACTTTTTCTACAAGCGATTCACAGCTCAGCTGTTTCCGCAATAACGAAAGCGGATTGTTGATGGCAGTAATGTAACACAACAATGCAGAGTAAACAGATGACGTTTCCTAGGTAACATAACAATGCAAGCTGACAATTGTTGTCAGTCCATATTTACAAATTGTTGATATTTCCTAGGAAACCATCTTATACTTTTTCGTTACACGTTTTCGTTACACTTTTCCGTTACACTTTTTTACGGAATGACACTGACCCTTCCATATAGACGTATTTACGTCAAAATCAATAAAAATATTTTATATTAGCTCTATGCGATCTATATACCTGACTCAGATATAGTAAGGACCAGAGCACTTGCGAGTTCTTGACGCGGGGGTGAGGAGCAAGGTGATAAGCACTGCGCGCGCACCTCCACGCTCTTTCTACCAGGCCGTGCCGAGTGCAACTATCCACAGCACTAGAGAGCTCAGCTGGCAAGTAATGTGGTCCCTATAATATTACTCAGAAACAATTTAAGAAATGACTATCTAAAACGTTTTGTGCTTCGTTTTTCCAATAAATCAGTGTTTCGATTATTTTAATACTTCGACTATTCTTCTGATTTTCTTAACATTTCATATACAGATCTTTTCACGGAAATTAAAATAGAAATCTGTATCATTAGACTTTTTAATTTCTTGCATGAAATAGACGACATGAAGGCACGATGGCTTCACGTTCAAAAGCACATGTACCGACCATTTTGACTGTGATGTTTCATTATTTTCCTCAATTCCTTAAAAATATTTTTTGATTGATCTATTATACATGCATTTGTACTTTTAGTTTAATCTGTTTGTTTTTTGTATATGTATGCATTATCAGCGTTTGCCTGTCATTGGCTCCTCGCTCTTGGCAAACACTTTAATAAATGAATTGAATTATTGTTATTGAATTTATTCACCATTTTACAGGGTATTTACTTCTATGTACCTGAGATAGGGTGGCTAATAAATTCTTTGAAAGGGTTACAAACTTCAAATATTTGGGAACAACAACAACAAATCAAAATGATACTTGTGAGGAAGTTAGGAGGAGACTAAATTCCGGAAATGCTTGCTACTTCTCAGTCCAAAATATTTTGTCTTCCCGTCTGATTCCTAAGAACCTGAAAATTAAAGTATACAAAACAATAATCTTGCCTGTTGTTTTGTATGGGTGCGAAACATGGTCCCTCACTCAGAGGGAGGAACACAGATTGCAGGGTTTTGAGAATCGGGTGTTGAGGAGGATAGTTGGGCCTAAGAGGGAAGACGATGGGGCGTGGAGAAAACTGCACAATGACGAGCTTAAAAATCTGTACTCCTCCCCCAGTATTGTCAGGGTGATTAAGTCGAGAAGA